GTCGCCGGCTTATTTATTTGAAAAATATTATTTTGATCATATTCTTTCTAAAAGTATATTTATTTAGTGTCTTAATAGAACAAATATTCAAGTACTAAACTAAATAAAAAAATGAACAATACTAGATTAATTTTGTGTAATTCAGTCAGATTCATAAGATAACAAACACTTTTTTTTTCTTTTCAATAATATATTTTTAATTAAAATCTTATATAAAATGATGTCTTAAGGTAAAATAAAATAAGTGTTTTTTTAACTTTTTATTACTATCAAATTTGAAAAACCATCAAATCTAATATGAAATTAATATTTAGAATAACAATAAAACAAAATTTAATCGAATATTGGTTTTCAACTAATATCAAACTAGACTAAAGTCATAATTTCTAAAAGTTTAGCCTAAAGATTGGACTCAATTTTACTCAATCCAATTTGATTTTTTTTTTTTTTAGTACATAGATGAGTCTAATAGTTCAATGGAATTGAGTGATGATTATCCAATTGTCCTGCATTTATGTGGTACATGAGATTTTAAAAGGATGATGTACTAATAAAATAAAAAGATGTATTGCTTAATATTTTTTAGAATAGTAAAAGACCAAAAATATACAAATGGAATTAGACAAGTTTGTCAGCTAATCATGATTATTTATATAGTGGGCAGCATGCACACTTCACCAATTATCTAAAATTTTGGGCCCCTTGTCCTCTCCCTTGTGCATATATATATATATATATATATGAAGTGATCCCTTTTTCTTATTTATTTATTTATATTTAGTAGTATGTATATTTTCATATCCAATTTTTATTATAAAGAATAAATTTTTCTCCAAAGATTTTTTTATATAAATTTAATGTTTATTCTTGGATAAAATTTGTAGGATTTCAATAATACCTTCTTTTCATATCAATATGATATTAATATAATTTTACTTTTGATATGATATAAAAAAAAAAAAGGAACTCATGTGAAATATACTTTTTTTTTCAAAAATTTATGAATCTTGACGAGATTCAATAAATAAATAAATAAATATACATATATTACATACATAAATTACCTTTTAAGAATCTCATCATAATACGGAGTCGTTTTGACTCAATAATAATTATATAATATTACAATATAAGCCCCACATTAAAAAAAAAAAAAAAAAAAAGAAATCAAAATTTTGAGGCATTTCAGAAAGCAAAATCAAATCATGTTAAATCCTACTACCTTTTTATTTTGAAAAGCTAATGGAAATCACGTGTCTAAGCTTGAGAAAAGCCTTCATCCAAAAGTTTTCAATTATTTATCAACTACTTAATTAATTATATTTGGATCCAATTATAAATACATTTATTAGTTGGAAAATAAAATAATAATTCAGTATATTTATCTTGCGGGGAGACTTTATTTTTTATTTGATTAATTTAAACTATATGTAATTATGATATCATCTTTTATAATAAAATTGTAATTTAATTTTTATATCTGAATAAAATTATAATAAAATGAATTAAATCAAGTTGAGTTACTCTAGTATTAAGATTTGACTCCTTATTGGGAGAAAAGTCATTAGGTAGTACAATTTAATTCATTATCGTATCTACCTATACCAAATTTATTATATTTTATTATTAAAATTGTAATTTTTTTTATTATTTTACATATTTAAGTAGTATACTTAAATATTCTATGTCAAGCTAGATCTGACATTAATTTTTATGAGATCAAATTAAATTAAATCAAATATTTTTTATATATTTAGCTCAACCTACATTAATTAATTTGAGTTCTTTCTAAATTTTTTTTAATATTATGTATTTCATGATGTTAAAATCACTTGTTTATTATAATACCGCTAAATATATTATTGTAAATTAATATCTTGGTGCAAATGAAAATTCTAAAGAAAAAGAAAACAAAAGAAAAGTTGTGATTTATTATGACTATTTTGTTTTTTTAAAAAAATTACATTAACATCATGAATCCTTATCTTAAAGTATAATAGATGATAGCGGATCACTCAATCAATAATTTTGATAAACAATATATATATATATATATATGTATATAAATTATAACATCACCAATAATTCTAAAACAATACTACATTCAGAAATACAATTCTCCTCAAATTTATAATTTTTTGTACCAACCATTAAAATAAATATTTATTAATCATTTTTTACTAAATTAGTTAGTTGTGAAAACAACCACTCACTCACCCTCCAATAATAATTAAAAAGAAATTTGATTATATAAATTAAAATATATATAATCACCTTAAAATTTAATACAATCATGGAATTTAGTAAAAGGTGGTTATTTTATTCACCCAAAACTAAGAACATCAGTAAACACAAAATTGCCTAAAAACTAGACCTTAAAAGGTATTGTTATTGGGTTTTACATATACATGAACAAATGAATATGAATTGACATATAACGTATACATAAGGTAAAAAATAAGAGCCCTTTTGGGTAAATCTTGACGACGCTTCACACCAAATCATCCCCACCATTATAACTATTTTCTGATGAGGAAGAACTGGTTATAGTGATCATGCCATTACAATCTGACACACTGTCCTGCAAGCTCAACAAAAGATGTGAAGTGCTAAAACTCATTGAAGGTTTGGCTCTGGGAACAAATGGGACCTCTGTCTCCCCCACCAGCATCTGGACCACACCTCTCATGGTGGGTCGAGCCAGTGGGTCAGGGTTCGAACAAGCCAACCCAACCAAGAGCACCTTCCTCATCTCATTTTCATCAAACTCACCTTCAAGTCTCGCATCAGCCGCCATTAACAACCTTCCTTCTCTGTGCAAGCTCCAAACCCACTCTACCAGATTGCTGTTTACTCCAACCCCTGAAAATTCCTTCTCTATCGGTCTCCTCCCACAAGCCACCTCAAGAACAACCGCTCCGTAGCTGAACACGTCGGTTTTCTCCGTTGCTCTTCCGGTTAAGAGATATTCTGGAGCTAAATAACCCATTGTTCCGGCGGCTACTGTGGCGTCTGGAGATTTGTCGTGCTCCACTTGTCTGGCTAATCCAAAATCACCTAAACGAGCATTGAATCCTTCGTCTAACATTATGTTGCTGCTCTTTACATCTCTGTGGATCACCTGGTTTTCACATTCTTGGTGTAAGTAAGCTAGAGCTGATGCTACACCCAGTAATATTTTTTGTCTGTGAGTCCATGGGAGAGGTGTTCTTGCTTCGAATAAAGCTTTGTCGAGGGACCCATTTGGCATTAAATCATAAACTAATAGAATTTCACCTTTTTCATGGCACCATCCTTGAAGTCTTACCAGATTTCGATGGCGAAGACCTCCGATTATTGATAATTCTGAGAGAAACTCGTTCTTGCCTTGCGTACTATGGCTGCATCTTTTTACTGCAACAATGTCGCCGGTCTCTGTTAAAATACCCTTGTAGACAGTCCCGAATGCGCCATGGCCGATTATTCTATTCGCATTGAAGCATTTGGTAGCGGATCTCAGCTCCTTGTAGGTGAATTCTTTCGGCATTTTGATTATATCAGATGCAAAAGATTCTGATTTTTTTACATTTTGGAATTTCTTGTTGTAAACCCAGAAAAGAGCACCGCCGAACAGGGCTAAGAAGAAGGCCCCTGCAGTAACCACTCCTGCAACAGCCCCTGCACCTTGCTTGCATAACTGGTTGTGGCAGGAAGATGACTTGCTGCTCTTTTGTTGAGTACTGGAGATCGGATTGGAACCAGAAGGAGGTAATGAAGGAGGCGGTGATTTCACGGAATTAGCCGTTGGATTCATTAAACTAGTCATTGGAGGCGGCGGTGTGACCGAGTCAGATTCCGAGTTCGACTCAAAGGAGGAGCTAAAACTCCACCATTCGATACTGTGAGTCTCTGTGCTCCCCTGAGTCGACCCAGAAAACCCCACGTACATAAAGTCATTCACGTACTGATCCAGATCGAGAATGACCGACAAAATCGGGTCTTTCGGTTTCAAATTCGAGTAAGAAACTGAGATGTTGAAAATACGAGTTGACCCGTCATACTCAATCCATGAATTCACTATATCACCGCTCTTGAGATCAATATCTATGGCACCCAAATCGCCAACCTCCGACGATACCATGGTGTTTAGATCCAAACCCACGTGATTACCATTAATATCCTTAAACTCCACGTCCATTAGGGTATCAAATTCCACTGCCACAAATCCCGAACCAAGGCCCTTGTCGTCGAGTAGGCCGAGAGAGCCGCCGGCGGCGCCGACAGTCTCGTCGTCCGGCGAGATGACAAAAGCGAGACCTCCGCCGATGGAGGAGGGGTTGAGATTAGTTACAGAGAAGGAGAAGAAAGTCGAAAAGCTAGCCGGAGAATGGGTGCCCGGTTGCCGGAACCTAACGGGCTTCGTGTAAAGAACCTTGCCGGCGCCGGAGTTAGGAACCGCCAGATCACGCGTGAGACTGACGCTGCCATTGTTCAAATGGGCGTCGCCGATAAGTTTCAGACTCCCGAGCGTCAACGTACCGAAATCGAATTCAGTGGTGGGAAGAGCTCCCGCAGCAATGGCGAAGACGAAAAAGATGAAGAGATAAAAGGTAAACATTTGTTGGGTATCAACGCATGGCCATTAGAGGGATTTAGCGGATCAGATGAAGAAAATGAAAGAAGAAAGAAGAAAGGAAATTGATTATTGAATACTCACGGGTGTTTGAGAAAGGGGGATTGTATTCTTTCTTTGGCTTGAAACAGAACAAAGTTCAGGAAACAAACAAAGGAATACTATGGGAGTAGGAAGAAGAGAATCCAAAGGACGGTGAAGGTGACAGGTGGATGTGAGAGAGACACGTGTCCTTGTTTAACGGCTAGTTTTCTTGATCTTGATAAATAAAATTTTCTATTTTTTAAAAAAGTTATTTTCTCTTCAACTCTTAATCTACTTTCTTCACTGCTTTTCTGTTGACCAAGTCCAACTCAAATTTATTTATTTTATTCACTTAAATTTAATTTTAACATATGTCCAAAAAATTTTACTTATTAATATTATCTAATATTTAGGGGAATCTCTTACAGACCTTGTCTAATAATTTTTTTTTGTAAAATTTAAAAATTATAACAACTGTTATTGGATTATATACAACAAATATTTAAAATATATAAAAAAAATTTCTTTTAAATTTTAGTTTAATATTTAAGAATGTTTTGTATTTTTAATTTTTTTCTCTTACTTAAAAAATACATAAAAAATTGTTTATTACATTTGCAAAATATGTAACGACTTGAATTCTCTGAGGCAGAAAGAGCATCACCTCACATGTGAACTTGATAAATTTTTGCGCAACATTATATTGATCTTCATAAATCAACAATACATCTATTGTACAGAATCATAATTCATGAGACTTACAATAATATTTCAAATTTTCATAATAATAATACATTCAGATCTACTACAATAAGCGTTCAAAGTAGCTAAAGGATTCTTCAAAGTATTCATTTGATCTTGAACTCCCCCTAACTTGAACTAATATGCACGGGGGGAGTGTGAATTGGAGTGAGTTTTACAAATTCAGTAAAAATAAAGTACAAAGCAGAAATATGCAAACACACATTCATACAGACTTGATAAAACCAATGCAAATTTCATATTCATAAATATTCAATTTGTAAGACAACTTTACTCATCATTATTATCACAAGTATAACAAAATAAACAATCAAGAACCACATCATTTTTATTACCCATTCCAATATATTTATATCTAAGTACCATACATATTATTCTCATTTATAAATATCATCACATTGTATTAGATTCATATTCAGATAATTTCGTTTCATTCATAAATACCATCAACCACACCAGATACGTATCCAGATCATCTTCATTTCCATTACATATTGTCATTTTCTATTTT